GCTTATTATGAATCGCGGGGCGCTCCGTAACTCAGATCCGTTCACTTCTCCCGGGAATTCCCATTATTGCGAGAGTGGTGAATTTTTTTTGAAAATTTTTCATGTGAAAATTTAAAAAAAAATGAAAAAATTGAAAATCACTCTACAAGGACCAAATCTTGCTCATTTTGCATCTACGGTCGATACGCAACTCAGATCTGTTCACTTTTCCCGGAAATTCCCATTATTGCGAGAGTGGTGAATTTTTTTTTTTAATTTTTCAAGTGAAAAACTGTCAGAAAATGAAAAAATTAAAAATCGCTGGACGAGGGCCGATTCTTCTTCATTTCGAATCTACGGTCGATACGCAACGCAGATCTGTTTACTTTTCCCAGAAATTCCCATTATTGCGAGAGTGGTGAATTTTTTTTGAAAATTTTTCAAGTGAAAATGTGTAAAAAAATGAAAAAATTAAAAAACGCTTCACGAGGTCTAATTCTTCCTCATTTCGAATCTACGAGCGATACGCAACTCAGATCTATTCGTTTCTCCCAGGAATTCCTATTATGACGAGAGTGGTGAATTTTTTTAGAATATTTTACACTTGAAAAATTTTCAGAAAATGAAAAAATTAAAAATCGCTCCACGAGAGCCCATTCTTGTTCATTTCGAATCTACGGTCGATACGCAACTCAGATCAGTTCACTTCTCCCGGGAATTCCCATTATTGCGAGAGTGGTGAATTTTTTTAGAATATTTCACAAGTGAAAAATTTTCAGAAAATGAAAAAATTGAAAATCGCTCCACGAGGTTCAATTCTTGTTCATTTCGCATCTACGGTCGATACGCAACTCAGATCAGTTCACTTCTCCTGGGAATTCCCATTATTGCGAGAGTGGTGATTTTTTTTTGAAAATTTTTCAAGTGAAAATTTTTCAAAAAATGAAAAAATTGAAAATCAATCCACGAGGGCCTATTCTGCCTCATTTCGAATTTCACGGTCGATACACAACTAAAATCTGTTCACTTCTCCCGGGAATTCCCATTATTGCGAGAGTGGTGAATTTTTTTTGAAAATTTTTCAAGTGAAAATTGCGTGAATGGTGAATTTGGTGAACATACCGTCGAGAAATACTCGCCGAATGAAAATTAGTCAATTTTCACCTTTC